TGTATATATATATATATATATATATATATAAAATATAAATATATGTATATATTATTAAGATTTTTATATTGTTAGTCCTAATCAAGTTGTCAGAGTGTAATAAGTAATAATATATATTATTATCATTTAAAGCATCTTTATCATCTAAAACAGATAGTTCTAATGATGGTATAATAATAAAAGCTTCTTCTTCTTCATCTAAAGACTCAAATAATTCTTCGTTAATTACAACCACATAATGAATCATGTTGACTGTTGTTCTGTAGCGTTCTTTTCATCTCTATTCGTACATTTACACTTTTGAAATTTATGCTGTCCTCATCAGTTCCAATGTAATGTTAGTACAGTCCCAGTGCAGAGAAAAGAACAAACCTAATGTATGAGCATTCATTTTCTATGCTTTTATCTTATTGTAGCCAGATCTATAACTAATAATACAAGTAGTTCGCATGGCAACAAAAATAGTCCGCATGAATTTCGGAAAAAATCTTTCGAAAAATGACACAAATGCGTGATCGCCAAAATTGTGATCAGTCTTTCGAAAGACCGCAGAAACGCTCGAGAATATTGCGAAAAGTCTATTAGCAAATTCCTAAATCGGGCATGATATTGATCAATCAATATCACGCGATCAATCGACGCAACCGATCAGAATGCTGATCGGGCATCGATCAGTCTATATAATCGGCTACACAAGGTGGAGTCGGAGGAGTCGAAAGTATTAGCCATTCGGAATCAAAATTATAAAAGTCGCGCGAGATATTACCGAATCCCGTCGCGAAGTTCACGCGGGCTGTATTATCAGCATCTCAGGTGTCACACTCGGTCGTCGGCCGTCAGGGTAACGCGAGACGCGCCGAGCCGCCCAACGACGCTTAATCGTGTGTGAGAAATATAACAGTGTAATATCACGTGTTTGTGTTCTTATTAAAATAAATCAGTCGAATTAAAAGAAAGTATGTATTAGATTTCAAGAGGATCCCTACATTTCTTTGATCCTGCTCGGAGTTTCAACTCTTTAGGTTTGGTGAACCCGACCCCTGAATATTAACATAATAAATAGTAAAATTGTAGCCCATTCAGGGTACAACATTTTGGTGGCAGCAGTAGGATTGTCAAAACTATCTGCCAAGAGCAACAACTTGAGAAGACCATCGTTGACCAAGCAGAATCGAAAGAGTAGGCCCCGATGCACTGCATTACGAACAGAAGAGGGGAGGAAAATTTTTTCAAAACAAAATAAGACCTGCAGTAATAGGTTAAAAGCTGCAGGCAGAAGAATCAAATTTCCTATAAGCTGAAAATACAAGACCTGTAGAAAACAGGCGAATGGAAAAGGCCCCAAGTAAAAAAATAAGCCGTCCGACAAAACTGTGTCAGTGTAATGTAAAGTCAGCAGAGTACCGACCTATGACAACGAGTGTCCAGTGGCAGCGGAGCCACGACCATAGAGCATCGAGAGCCAGCCAGCGCCGACCGTGTACATCGTGTATACCAGGCAGCGAGGATGCTTCATCGACACGCACTACTACTAGCGCAGCCAACTGACACGCCAGCACAAGCAGCGACCATGCGAGGGTATTCGATCTGTCTTCTAATGTAAGTCAGAAAAGTCATACTGTAAAGTGAATGTCCGCAGCGAAGGACAGCCTAGCGTATGTAACTTGGCCAAAATCGCGGCCAACAGACAACCCCGTAAAATATTCGCACACTATTTCCGCGATAAATACCGCAAGAAACGCATTAAAGGAAATACGCGACAACATGCGCCGTGTATTAAGATACGAAAGCGACGAAGATGTTCACGTTATAACCGAACGCAAATTTCCATACGACGAAAAGGATTAGCATGCTCGCACTGAACGACACCGACTCCCACATTGACACATGTATAGGCACGCAACACACACAAACAAACTTACGAGACGGAAGCATATTTGACTCTTCCAACATATATCAATCATTGATAAATGAAATGGTCCACTCACTCGCCGAACAACAGAAATCGACAATGAAATCTTGCAACTACGGCATTCAGTCGACAGACACGGACCACAAGAAAATCGAACAAACCATCGCGTCACAATTGACACACAGTCCGATAATATCATGTTTCGTGAATTAATGGACGAAATACGCGATCTCCGCGTACAAGTAACGGATTAAGCCGGCAGGCACAATTACCTATGGGCGAACAAACGAGAGTATTTCAAAATTTTCTTCCGCACCCGTTAGATTTAACTTACGTATCAGATGTTCGTATCAGGACATACGAAACCAATCAGGAAACGCACTGGCATTTCTAACATTGAAAGACGCGCGTAACAAGATCCCAGATCGGCACGTCACAAGGACGCGAGTATGAATTTCTAAATGCAAGCACGTACGCTATAAAAAATATACACCCTGCGGATGAACAATCTTTATTGGAGGCTATTCTTTGCACCAAATTCAAAGGCAAGGCCATGATGGATTTCTGTACGCGAGATATAGTGAATTTCGCAATTAAAGCGAGAATTGGAAAAAGAATACTTAAGCAAACGAAATACCGCACACTTGCAACTCGAGTTTAACTCGCTCAAACAGAAATCAAACGAAAGCGCACAAGAAGGTAGATGAATAGATAGATAAATAACATAGCCATGGAGTTATACGAATCCATGGAAGGCAAAAACCATACAGTCGAGCAGCAACGCGCGATCTTAGAAAATAAAAGAGCAGGCGCTTTACAATTACCAAAACGGGTTACATGAAAACATTAAATTTATCGTACGATCGCAACGTTATAAGATGTTACAAGAAGCAATCGCGGGAGCAAGCGCGGAAGAGATAACGCGAGGATCTAGCACTCGAACTCAAGCGTATCGAAATCAGCCAATATTTAAAACGCAATCACAAACTCCGCATTGCGAGAAATGCGAAAAAATTGGTCATTATGGGTGCGATTGTAGGACTAGTCGTTTCACAAATAGATACACCCTGCCTAAGCCGGAAGGAGAATCACGAATAAACACAATCGAAAAACAGTATAGCAAAAGATACTACTGCAAAAAGATAGGACATTTGCGCCAAGAATGTTGGACACTGAATGGAAAGTTAGAAAATAACAGTAAAAATTCAGAAAAAATTTTTTTGAATTCGCGAAAAGAAAATCTCGCGAAGAGCTTTAAAAATAAAAAGAGCACCGGCGAAAGTAAACTGACCGTCCCACGTCCCGCGTCAGAGTATCACGTGGCACACGTCAAAGGGGCATCGCTCGTCAACATCGGACTAAACGCGATCACATTACCGATTGCAGAAGCCAAAGGTAGAAAAGTAAACTTCCTATTTGATACGGGCGCATCAGCAACGATAATAAAATTAAAATATTTATTAGATCATGTCCTAATCTACGAAGAAAAAATTAAGTTAACAGGCATTACAGGACATGAGATAATAACATTGCGCAAACATATTACGGTTCAACTGTCGCGAAAAAAGATATAACACCGGTATACATAGTGCGAGATAATGCGCCAATGGAATACGATGCGATCCTAGGAGCAGATTTCATTTGGCAATATATAACTGCGTTCGACCCAAAAATAAATTCTGTGGAATTTAAAAATACGAATTTCAAGCTTTATCCATACAAGCGCGTAACTTTAGGGCCGCGCAATGAAATCGTGCAATTCACGACTAATCAAAATATAATCGGATTGACGAAACCAGAGGAAATGATACCTGGAATTTTTATTGGATGTTGCCTCGAACCGCGAAAGTCGAACCGCGAAATTACACATGTCCAATCAGTATACTAAATATTACAGAAGAAAAAAAAATTATCCAAGTACCGCAAATAACATTACAAGAACTAGGTACGCAAGAAAAGATAACATAAGAATCTATAAACAACAGACAAGAAGTAAAAATACAAAATTAATCTCTCGAGAAGAGCTCGAGAAAATAAACAATTCTTTATTCACAATTCCTTACGCACAGAATATTTAAATAAAGAAGAACGAAAATCTGTACTAGAATTATGTCACGAATACAATGACATGACGTTTTACCTAGAAGGAGACACATTAACGTGCACAACAAAAATTAATAGCGATACGAAATAGCGATACGAATAGATTCATCACTAATAAACATCCTTACCGTTTACCTGAAAAGCATAAAGACGAGGTAAACAAACAAATTCAAGAAATGCTAAAACAGGAAATTATCAGACCAAGCGTCAGCCAATGGAACGCATTAGTTATGCCGAAAAAGACAGATGCTTCAGGTAAAACAAAATTGCGAATTGTGATTGATTTCAGGAAATTGAATGATCTCACAATCGGAGATTTATTCCCGTTGCCCAACATAACGGATATACTTGATCAGTTGGGCAACGCGAAATATTTCACGACATTAGATCTCGCATCAGATTACCATCAGATACCAATGGCGGAACAAGATAAAAATAAAACTGCATTCTCTACGCCATACGATCATTACGAATTTAACAGAATGCTGTTTGATTTAAAAAACGCACTTGCAATCTTCCAACGCTTAATAAATTCAGTTTTAATGGGTTTGCAAGGAATTAAATGTTTAGTATATCTCGATGACATTGTAATATACGGTCCTAGCCTTACAGAACATAAGTGTCGGTCCACAACCTTGCTTTAAGAGGCCGTAAGCCGTAGGCCGTAAGCGTTAAGTGACGTAATTCCTGTTTTTAAGTTGTTCCCGCGCAGTTTTTAGGCTTTAACCTAAAGACGTAAGCGAATTGCGCAAAACTCAATTCTTACGGCCTAAAGCATAAATCTTCCGGTCGACGTATCATTCCTATCCAATCAGCAAAAAGCAAAAGGAAGATTGTTATGTGAAGGCATCGTTTGAATGAAATGTATTTAGTATTCCTCGTGGATAACTTCCGATGGCTGTGATCTTGTTAACTGAATTAAGTTAATAAATAAGCGTAACAATAATGGAAAACTCAAACGTGATAATAACAAAAGAAAGCATGAAGGAGGAAATTCAAGATGAAATTCTAATCGCTTTAGTGAAAGAGAACCCAATATTGTATAACAAAAAACATCCGGATTATAAAAACCACGAAGTAAAGAAAGATACCTGGAATATGATAAAAGTACAGTGTGGAATGTCATCAGGTTATTGCTGTTTATGTATGTGCTAAAATGTGTAATTTACAATTTATTTATTCTAACCTCTTTGTTATTCATATAGTCGAAGAAATAGAGAATAGATGGAATCAATTACGGAATTATTTTGGGAAAAAATTAAGAGAAATGAAAGTAAAATCAGCCAGCGGATCAAGTGGAGGCACTAATGCTAAAAAAAGTGGAATGGTATCTTATGGGAGCTATGTCATTTCTAATTCCATATATTAGTCACCGAAGGTGAGTATTTTCTAAAAAAAAATTAATTTGTTGATCAATAAACATATGTATTTATTACAGAGGTCGTAGTTCTATGGGAAACGTAAATTTTTCTACATCATCTACATTATCTACATCATCCGAGATTTCTTCCCCTATATCATCACAGCCATCTATAAGCAGCAAAGTATGCAACATTGATTTTGTACAAAATGATAGTGTAGATATTGTTGTTGACGATACTAGCTCGACAAATGAGAGTACTGCTTGTTCTGATTCAACAACTGTTGAAATAAAGCCTGAAACTAAATCTGTTCTTTTAAAAAAGAAGAAAGTCATTCCTGATTTAGATATTTTTGCAAAAAAAAACAAAAAAAATAGATGTAGAAAATCTTCTAGCACAATCAACCTCAGCCTTAACCAATCTTGCAACAGTTGTGCACAAATCCATTTCTGAATCTGTTTCTAATAAAATAAATGAACACAAATATAAGTCGAATCCTTATGCTGAGAGTATTTTAGTTGCATTTGATCAAGTACCAGTGATAAAACAAGTAGATTGTTTAATTGCTACATTGAATGTAATCAAAAGTTATCAAGCTCTACAAGCTGATTTAGTACAACATTAATTTGTCTTTACGTTTGTTATTTGCCTTCGTTTATTTGATGTTTTCTTTATTTTAATTTTAATTTTAATTTATATAATTTATTTTATTTTACATATTTAATTTTAATGTCTAAAAATTTTTTTTTTAAATAAACACTGCATTTGGCTAAACGCAGCTAATATTTATTAATATAAGATATTAAAACCTTCGCATGAATAAATATATTTTTTTATGAATGTAAATATATTTTATTCATAACACATAAAAAATTGGTTTTTTTTAGTTAAGGTTTGATGCAAAAATAAATATTTATGTTTGTTACAGTTGTTATAACTAAATATATTTTTTTATTTTACTCACAAAATGTGTAATAAAAAATTATTTTTTTAAGTTAAGATTTATTATATATGTGATATACAAATAGATACATATGTTTATTATAAATGTAACTAAATATGTAAATGTTATAATTGTAAGATGCAATAAAAAAATTATGTTTATGAGTTGAGGTTTATTATACATGAGCCAAATATGTTATTATTATAGTAATTAAAACTGCATGCTTAGAACTACACTATATGTTACACTGAAATATATACATGTTTAAGGAACATTAATATTATAGCCACGGAAAACAACCATTCTTTGCCAAGGACCTTCTTCATGGTTGGTAAGATAATCGGCAAGTGTATTTCTTAAATTAACAGCTGCAACAGCTGCATGATTTGCACCTATTCTGTGCAAGTTTTGAATATTAGGTGCTGCAGCATCTCTCCTCCATTCTCCTGGAATCATAATTCTATTATCATCCTCTTGATCAACGTACGCAGAAGGGCAATATTTCTTAAATCCTTGTTGATGTTCTTCCTTCTTCATTATAAAGTTATGTAAGCTTACTGTTGCATATACAATATTTTCAATAGATTCTGGAAGTTGGGCTAATGAAATCCGAAGAACACGCCACCTGGAATATAAACACAGATGTTGACATTGATACTTTCCGGATAAGATTAATGTCATATTTTATTTCCTTTACTATACCTTGTTGATAAAATTCCAAAAGCATTTTCTATTACTCGTCGAGCTCGAGAATGTCTGTAATTAAAAATACGCTGGGTCTCAGTCAATGGATTTCATTTAGAGTATGGGCGCATCAAATTGTGATGTAAAGGGAATATCTCATCCCCTACAAAATAATAAGGTATCATAATATTTGTGCCGGGCAAAGGGGATGGCGGCGGTATATTCAGTGTATCATTTTCCACAGCTTGACCAAATTCTGTAGCACTGAACACACTGCTATCAGAAAGCGATCCTATAAAATGATGACATGAAATATATAATATTGTATTTATATCACTACTCATGCAAATCAATTCACCATAATCTCCAATATGGATTGATGTAAAGCAGTAATTTGCATCACAAGTTGCCATTAGCACTATACTAAAATACTGTTTATAGTTGAAAAATTGAGATCCAGTATTTGCTGGACATTGAATTCTTATATGTTTGCCATCAAGGGCTCCGATGCAGTTGGGCAAATTCCATCGCTGCCAAAACTTATCAGCAATTTCTCTGTATTCTTGCTGATTTGGGGGCAAGAGATAGGTTGCACCTATAGTATTAGAAATAACGCGACAAGTTTCCTGCACAATGTTGTAGGCAGTAGACTTTCCAATTTGCCAATAATTAGCCAAAGAAGGCAAGCTATTTTCTGAGGCTAGATAGCTAAAATAGACAACCATTTATAGAAAATTTTTCTATAACTATAGAAATATATTTTAATAAAATTAACTAATAATTATGGAATCTAACTTACCAAATAGTGAATGCTAGCCGAAATTCCAGGGATAAAAATTCTCTGTAACTGGCCTTTTGTAGATGTGGACCAACTATTTCTAGTAATTCGTCAAATAAATCGACTGTCAATCTTGTCAGGTTGAAAAACTTTTCGTGGTCTGTATATTTATATTTCAAGAACACTACTGTAAAAGAGCCCTCGATATAGCGGCGTCGATTACATGGACGCACCCACCATCGTCGATTTTGATATTTTCTTTTTTGTTTTTTTATATATATTTGCAACAAGTGCATATTCCACAAACAAAACAATGTTGTTAATGTTGTTAACATAAATAAAAGTATTACGCATATCCATCTCGCCATGTATAAACAAACGCGTCTTTGCTACAGCGCAACTCCATTATTTGTTTTCTGATTGGCTGATATACATTACATCTTACGCTTTACATCTTGCATTGTGGATTACCGTCTTTAAAGAGTTATTTAACGACTACGGTTTACGGCTCTACAACTTCCGTTTAAAGACAACGGGTTAGTCTTAAAGCAAGATTGTGGACCGACACTAACAAAAGATTAAAATTAGTTCTTCAAAGACTAAGAGAGAACAATCTAAAACTCCAACCAGACAAGTGCGAATTCTTACAAAAAGAAGTAGTCTATTTAACATATAATTACTGAAAATGGAATTTCGCCAGATCCATCAAAATTGCACGTCGTAAAAAACTTTCCTACGCCTAAAAAATAAAAGACGTGCAATCATTCATTGGATTAGCCGGATACTACAGAAAATTTATTGAAGATTTCTCACGAATTGCAAAGTTAATTAACAAAACTTACAAAAAAGGGAGAGAAATTGGAGTGAACCACAACACAGCAAAGTGCATTTGACACACTAAAGAATAAATTAACAACGGCACCGATATTAAAATATTGACTTTACGAGAGAATTTCTCCTAATCACGGATGCATCGGATTATGCAATAGGAGCCGTTTTATCGCAAGGCGAGGTAAGTCAAGATCGACCCGTCGCGTATGCCAGTCGCATATTATTACGAGCTGAACAAAATTATAATACAACTGAAAAAGAATTATTCGCAATAGTATGGGCAGTAAAGCATTTCAGACCTTACTTATACGGGACAAAATTCAAAATAATTAACGACCATAAACCGTTAATATGGTTATTTAATGTAACAGATCCCGGTTCACGTTTAATCAGATGGAGATTAAAGTTGGAAGAATACGATTATGAAATAATACACAAAGCTGGGAAAGCCAACGCTAACGCTGACGCACTAAGTCGTAACGTGGCAGCAATAACGAAAGAACAACAGACTGACGACACCGCGTCAGAAAAACAATACGAAGAAGAAGATAAGAAGCAAATATTATATGAGTATCATCACGCATTTGTAGGAGGACATCAGGGCGTCGAACGGACAATAAATAAAATACGATTATATCACAACTGGCCAGGATTAAAACGAGATATTGAACAATACATCTCAAAATGTGAACATTGCCAAAAGAATAAATTGCAACGACGCGCTAAAGCACCTCTAATGCTAACAGATACGTCAACAAAACCATTTGAAAAATGCGCGTTAGAATCGGACCCTATATAATTTTAGAGAAAACGGGCGACGTAAACTATAAAATAAAAATGGGCCGCCGAACAATAAATATACATGCGAACCGAATCAAAGCGCATAATAATAAAAAAATAATAAAAAAAAAAAAACACAGTGGGACTTACTGACAGAAAAATCTCAGCAGATCCAGATGATACAGATGATAATAGCTCCCAATAATAAAATCATATAAAATAAACTAAAAATAAACTAACAATTAGTACACTACACTAAAAAATTAAAAGTAACAAAAGTCGAGTCTTAAGAGCTACCCGGCGGGGACAGGAAGCTCGTCTTCGTCCAGATCGTTGGCTGGCAAACTCTCCAACGGATCATCCACCAGGTCATCTTCCGCATCAATCTCCACATCAGCCAAAACTGCCTCATACAAATAAGTAATTCGTAGAGTTCTACAGACCACGGCAATTCTGTAATTCTACCGGACGAATCATTGGAAATGTACCAAATAGAATCCTCGCCGACGTGAAAAACACCATCGTTATAGAAACGGTTAACAATCTACAATCACTCTCGCATGCGACGGAAATGCACCTGAGCGGCAGAGGCATTCAGAAATTCGTTTACTTCAGCATCATTCACTTCGAGTACCACAATGTTAAACTCGTCGTCATCGAACGACGCTTCTACTGCACTGTCATTGAAAACCAGCGGCAACGCATTGTGCTCGGAGCGATTTTCACGAGAGCTCATATCGAATGCGAGGAAGACGTCTCGACAACTGACGAAATGCAGTCAGAAGGCTCATCACAAAAAGATGAAATATTAGAAGGTTCATTCGGAATATCTAACACCGATACAATAAAAAAGATAGACCAGCAAAAGTAACTAAAAGTAGCTAAAAAAGACACCAGAAGAAATGATAAACGTTATAAAAAGCAAGTTCAACAGGTCCAAAAGAGAATCTTTTTAACTAAGAAAGCGAAATAAGAATGTTACGTCCAACCCGAGGTAAATATATTTTTATATATATTTTTTTTTAATGGATGGGGCTTGGAAGGACGCTCCAAATACCCTCTCGCAGGTGGCCGCGCTGAGGTGTCCCTACGAGTCGGACACACTGTGCAGAGCCACGAGTGCGAGTCAACGTCTTGAAAAAGATGCTATTATTTCGACTGCGTGACGTGCGTCCGTCAGTCCGTAATTTAGGCAAGAGAATTTAATCTCTTTTGCCAGGGACAGGACCATGCGCGAATCTTGGGATAACGAGGAATGAAAGAGGGAGCAAATAACTAAACGATAAATAATTTAAATTTTACATATAATTAATAATTTTAAAATGATTACAAGGTTAGGTACGTATCAAGATCGTATACAAGATCGTACATTAGCTACAAGATCGTATCATTATTTTTTTTTACGTTGGAATATATTTATTGACGATATATTTATAAAAATATAAAACAAGAAGGGTGTTACGTACAGAAATTCGTGTGTTCTAGAAATTGACGGATGTATTGTTTGGTTTTTCTGTGCATAATTCTATTAATCTATTAGTTTAGTATTTTTAATTTGTTATTAATCTATTTTAAATTGTATGTTGTTGACTGTGTGTGGTTGTTCTGAGAGGAGGTCGGGTTTTCGCTAGTGAGGTCTAGGGGAGGAGGGGAAGGAGTCCGTAGTTCACAGAACTCGTCCAAGGATTTGTGGGTGCGGAAATCTGGGTATGTCTGGAGGTCATGGCGCTCTAGGAAGAGTACACTGAAATCTGGGGGTGATCCAGGTTCAGTTGGTTTGATCGGGGAATAGGATGGAGGAGATATGTGTAAATAATAGGGTCTCCTGCTGGAACAACTCGTGGTTTCTTGATGTGTTAAAACCTCGGATGTCCTAGGCGAAGGATAGTTCCCCGTTTGGCGAGCTCGCTTGTTCTGACGGTAACGGAGCCTCTTCAGGGTTCGCCTCTGTCTTTGAGCGTCGGAAAGTGTGGATGATGCAGCTTTCACTAAAAGAAATGGATTTGGAATATGAAGGAAATGTCATTAGTCGCGAATCTTAAGGCTATCTCTGAAATATTTCAGGAAACCGAGAGATCCGAGAGGAGAGAAATTAAAAAGGAAAGAGAAAATTGTAAGAGAGGAGAGAAAAAGGAAAAGAATAGATTTCCCGAATT